CCCTTAGAAGGAACTTCTCATGGACCCCTCTACCACGCTATGTCCCTCACGCCTTTGGCTGGCCTTAGTAGTGACTGTCCTTGTGGCCAGCTGAGGTGCTTCTTGATCTCCAAGCCAAAGCCCCACAGCTCCTTACCCAGAGTCTCTAAGTGCAAACAAGAACCACAGCAGTACTGTGGAAGTATGGACAGTAATACAGAACCATCCTTCCCAAGAAGGGCCTGTCCAGGCCATCCAGCTGTGGTTTGGGAGCAAGGAAGTCTCTCTTGACAACGCTCTACAAAGCCCTTCACACCACTCACCAGACAAAACACCTCCCTATGTTCACAGCTCATGATACACACTTTTTGCAAATGAAGAATTTAAGGCTCTGGGAGGGTTTGCCTTCGATCACAAAGTGTACTAACATGCAAGGAAAACAATGGCCTTCCCCCCACCACCCTTCCCCACATCCCCTCCCCACTGAGAAGGTATAGTTTAATGGAAGAGCACGTGCCCAGTGTACACCTAGGCAGCCCCCACTATGGTCTGTGATCTATGGTTTGGCCTGGTCTAAACACACACAAGTTACTGTGGAACAGCAGAGAATAGGCCTGCAGAAGCCACTGATGTCAGCACACTGGCTGGACTGAAACAACCCCTGCAGGTTGGCGCTGTGCTGGCTGAACACAGAGAGGAACCATCCCCAGGTGCAGATATACATTCATTTTATGCTAGCATTGGCACCTTCCACAAGGTCACTCTAGCTTGGGATCATCCATCTAAACAGGACTCATCCGGTCACACACATTGGCTCCCTGAAACATTCTTACAAGAACAGGAGAGTCTCCTGAGTAAGCTCATCAGCCTTGGAGAAACACACAGTAGAGAGGGGGTGAGGGGAAAGTGAGGGAGGGATAGAGGAATGGAGGAGAAGGGGGAGAAAGAGAGAAAGAGGGAGGGGGAGAGGGAGGTAGAGAGAGGGGAGAGAGGGAGGGGGAGGGAGAGGTGTTTAGGGAGTTACTAAAACCCAATACTGAGGTGGTCACCTGCTGAGGTGATCACCTTTAGTGTGTGCTGACTATTTCGATGACTTGCTTTTAGACCATTAAGCTTTCAGCAGAAATAAATAAAAGAACGTTCTTGTGTGAGAAACGGTACTTTCCCCAGGAAAGCTGAGAACAACACACGTCAACACGGCTTACTGGGTCACAACACAGAACATCTCAATGTGATTTTAAAAATAGTTCCAGCACAGTGGAAAAATCTCATAGCCTGACTGGGCATCGTTCAGATCTGGGTCAAGCATCAAGTGGCTTCCTGGGTGACCTTGCACAGTCCTTCGGATCCCTGGGCCTCCAGCTTCTCCTAGAATCCTGGTCAGGAGAGACTGGGGCCCATCGGTAGCTCTCAACCTTTGTGTACCATGACTCCAGCACCCATCCCGGGAGGTAGAGTGTCTACATGTGTGAAGTCAGGTCCTGTCCCTAACAGGAGAGCACAGGCCTTTGGCATTACATCGCCAATCCTAGCTTCCAAGACCGACACCACAGCCCAACCGTGAATTGTCCCAGAGCAGTTTCCAGATGCTGTGCTCTCGGCTACCTTCCACCTGGGCAGGACGGGCCATGCAAACATCCCCACTGCTCAGGCCTCAGACAGCCCTCACTTTCAGATTTCCTTTGTTTCCTGGTCTGAGCCAGCAGAACCCACAGGGAAAGGTGAAGGCCCACAGCAGCTTCTCAAGTGCTCTTGAGATTCAGGCCTCCTCACCCAGCATCTCCGCCAGGAGCCTTGGGCAACTTCCCTTTCTCCCGGGCTATGCTGGCATAGCTTAGCTGTTTTCTGTCTGGCCTTGTTGCTGTCTGGCACAGATGCATGCATCTATTGACTCTCCCCACTCAATCATGAGGACGACCTGTTTGTCTCTATTGTTCACCAGGATCCTGTGCACGGCGTCTGGTTGTGTGCACACATGGTACATGTTACCAGAGTGTACAAATGAATGAATAAACAAATGAATGAACAGAATGGCAGAAACAAGGAAAAGTAACCTGGTCAGGGGACCCTGGAGTGTAAGTGAGCAGGAAACACCTGCCTCACATGCTCATGGCCTTAGTGACAGCCTCAGCACCACCAGAGAGAAAGGAAGCCCTGACCACAGGCAGTGGACATAGGATGACATTGCACTGTCCCCAGCACTTACTCAAGCTGGCAGAGCTCTGAGTAGCCTAACCAGAAGTCCCCTGTGGCTCTCGCTCTTGTGAGCAAGGTCTCCAGCCAAATGCCTTCCTTAGTAAGTATCCCAGTGAGGTAGTTTGAATAGGTTTGGCCCCCATTGTTGCAGCAATAGAACCACTAAGATACCCAGGAACACCCCTTCCTCAGTCAGGGAAATGTCCTCCATAGTGAGGGGTCCAAGCCTAGAGCCTGCCTGTCTTTGAATGATGGATAGTCTGCTAGCCTAAGAGACTTTCCAAGAAAGCTCTTCTGCCTTCCTGCAGGGCATCTGTCCAGTTCTTACACTGTACTCATTGCTAACAACTGCTAGAGATGGCCGAGCCCACTGCAGTCAACTGGAGTGGGCCTGCTCCCCATAAAGCCCACCCTTTCTACTCTCTTCATGTAGAGGTTCCCTCCTCTCATCTCAAAGCCGTTCTCTACCACAGTGAGAATTATCCTGACTGCGTCTGCTCAGGGTTGGGAACCAAGATCTGGAAAGTACTCCCTGGCACTGTGTCATAGTGGCTGAAATGAAGTTTTTCACTACACCTAGGCTTACCAATCTGGCTGAATTGGCTAGCAGCAAGCCCTGGGAATCCTCATGTCTCTCACTTCCCAGCAGCTTTGTTTGTGTTTTGTTTGAGACAAGGTTTCTCAGTGTAACAGTCCTGGCTGACCTAGAACTTGTTCTGTAGACAAGACTGGCCTCTAGTTCATAGAGATTCACCTGCCTCTGCCTCCCAAGTGCTAGGATTAAAGGAATGCACTACCCTTGTCTGGCCCTTGCCACCAGATTTCTATGTGGTGTTGGAGACCAAAGTTAAGTTTCTATGCTTGGGTGGTAAGTATTTTACCAACGCTTACCCCTCCCAAACACTCCCCCTCCCCCATTCCCATAATAGAACCCTGGAGTCTAGCTAATTTATAAAGGGAAAGGGGTTAATTTCAGTTTCTGGTTCTGGAATTCTGGGAGCACAGTACCATCCAGTCAGCTTCTGGAGGTCCACAGGCTGCACCGTGTCTTAATGGAAAGGTAGAGACGGGAGGCAAGTGCACATAGATGTTGAAAATCAACAAGGCAGGAAGCATGAGAAAGCCTAGGAAGCCAAACTCACTTAGTAACAGTAATCTGGTCTCTGGATAACTGACCCACTCTGAGAGAACCACAGGAATGCCTTTGTGACCCGAAGTGCCTCTCGAAAGCCCCAGCACCACTCAACAGACTTACATTAGGGACTGAGCTGCAATGAACGCTGTGGTGGGGGGCAAACCACATTCAAATGCAGTGTGTAAGCAAAGACGTAAACCATAAGGAGGTGTGTGTAAGCAAACCACACCATGATGCATAAGTCTGTAGCCTCAAACCAAGCCCCCATTGCTCTTGCCGCCCTCGACGATGCATTTATACAACTCCTCCTGCTGCACTGAGGGTGGACCCTAGTGACCCGGCCTGCCACCAAGAGCAGCAAACCCTCTGTGGTCAGGTGACCCAGATTACCCATGTTACCACAACCATGGGCTTCTGTGGCAGACTGCACATAAATGAATCAGGTGCCCCGGGACAACAGGAACAGCAGTGAGGAGCAAAGGCCTGGGCCAAGCAGCCACTCAGGCAGTGAGAAGGAAAACACCATAGGCTCAGGAGAGACAGGCCGTGGACCACAGAAGCTGTGAACTGTTGAAGAAGTACAACATTGGAATCTGCTGAATTTTAGGCAGCGATAGAAATTAACACACGAAATGCGGTTTCCATCTCGCAGGTGTGTGTGTGTGTGTGTGTGTGTGTGTGTGTGTAACTGTGTATGCAGTTGCTTGGTGGCCAGAGAAGGATGTGACTGTCCTTCTCTATCACTCTTAGCCATATTCCTCTGAGACAGAGTCTGTTACTGAATCTGCAGGTTTGCCATTTCAGCTAGGCGAGCCGACCAGGCTGCTCCCAGGACCTGTCTCCACTCCCCAGTTCTAGGGTTACCTGGATTCTAAGTGCACCTGTAGCTGTGCCCAGCTTCTGTAGGTCTTCACTCTCACACATGGCACTGCCTCCCCATGCCCTGGCAGATTGTTAAACAGGAGAAGGGCTGGCAATGATCTGCCCACAGGCACTGGGACATGGGCACTCCTACATGCCCTGGACTAGGAAGGAGATTTGATGACAGCCATCCAAGCTGCATGCAGGTCCTTGAGCCTGGCAGTCCTACTTGCAGTGACATACAGACTGCTTCCTGTGTGGGACACAGTTAAGGGTCACACGAGGCAGCATTTGGTAGCGACATTGCGTTAAGCTGTCACTATGGGCAACTGTGTCCCTCCTGGTACGTTTGTGTAAGTCTTGGCCTTCCACACCTCGGAGTGTGACTATTTCTGGAGACAGAGCCTTTAACAGTGAAAGGGAGGTCATTAGCACAGACCTAATACAACATGACTGCTACCCATGAGAAGACCAGAAGACACAGAGGGAGACAGAAGAGAGGCCTCAGAGTGAAACCACCTTGCAACACCTTGACACTGGCCTTCCAGTCTCTGCAATGGAAACAAACTAGCTTTCCTCTCCTTACTCCCTCGTAGAACAAATGAGACAGGAAGTGGTCCAGTGAATCTGGGTGTATCTGCAAGGCATGAGCCCAGCCACTATCTTACTGTGCTTAATTTGGGTTAAGCTGAAAGAACCTCACCCAGTACATGGAAAAGACAGTGTGCGTGCAGAGGAGTCCCAACCCTCAAGCTGGTCTCAGCTGGTCTCAGCTGGTCTCAGCTGCCCAATCCTCAGGCTCCCCTTCCCCCAGGAAGCTGTCTCTCACCTGGAAATAGTTCAGAAGCAAGCCAGCCCAGGACAGTCCCAGGCCTGCAAGCAGGTAGGGTATTAGCACCTGAAAGCCAATGATCAGAGCAGTCTCCCTGCCGGGCTGGACCTCTAGTGATTTGGCATCCACGCATTGGCTCTCGGAGACTTCTGGCTGTCCATCTTCAGAAGCCTCTGGGAGACTTCCTGCATCGAGGCTGGGCCGTGGCCCCAGCTCCTTCAGCCTGCCACAGCCTTCCAGCCTCCTCTGTCGGGCCTCCGTCCCTTCCATCAGCACACGGCTGAGCCCAGCAGCCCTGACCTGGGAGACACAAAGTGACAGAGTTGAAGGGGAGAACTCCTGCCTCCCCAGGACCTCCATCCATCCACCTGGCAGCCGCCATTCAGGGCTGGCTGTCACAGGCTCTTTGAACCCTTAGCGCACGGCTTTAACCCCTCTGGCTAGAATACAGACTCACCCTTAGCACACATCTTTAATCCCAAACAATGAAGTCACTTTAGTCTGTAGAAGGAAGCACCCATATTTGAAAGAGGTGTCTAACGACAGGGGACCGGAGCCATTACAAGGTACCCTTCAAATACTGGAGGTCAGGCCTCTATCCCAGCCTTCACAAGATTAGAATTGCCACAGCCCTTCTATACTTAGAGAAGGGAGGAGATGTCAGGGGCAGCCCTGCTTATACACGGAAGGCCTAAAATCAGCCATAGGCCTAAAATCAGCAGTGGGCCTGCCATATATGTATACTAACACCAAGTCTTGGGTCTCAGTGGAAAAACATTGAAACAGATGGCTATAAGCTAATGTAAACAGGCAGCTTTTGTGGAACTTTACCAGCCTGAGTAGTCATAGACCTTGTAAATAGGTAGCCTTGGCAGATAATACCAACTTAGATAAGGACAAGCGAGTCATAGGCAGAGTCATAGTGACCTGTCCCCTGAACCTTCACCCAGCTGATACCCGGTTCTGAAGATATCTGTATTCCCCCTGAACACCCACGCTCCAGTGTCATCCCCTTCCCCACGTCCTGCCTTTTTGTGTTTTTAACCCGTGTGTGAATAAGTAAAAATTACGATTTGAAATAAATAAATAAATAAATAAATGAAATGAATAATGAATAAATACTGAATAAATAAATGAAAGAGGTGTCTAACTGAGTGGCAGAAAAAAATGACAAATCAGAGAAAGATTTGACAGAATAGGATATGTCCAACTCTCAGGAGAGAGGAAAGGGAAGCTACTGAAGGGAGAGGCAGACAGTGCAGAAAGAAAGAGTACAGTGCAGGAATACAGGAGAGTTTCTCGAGAGCAGCACAGTAGAGTCGCGAGGGAGAGCAGAGCACGAAGAGGGAGAAGGAGGTGGGTTTACTGGGAGACTTTTACAGAGACAGATTGAAGAGGGAACAAGTTAGACACAGGTAAAGAAAAACTGAGCAGAGAAGGAGCCAACAGATTAGAAAAGATTGCTAGAGTTAGTCTGAGGCAAAGCAGAGCAATTCAGAGGCCAAGCGAAAAGTCAGCATAGAGAGCAGTTTGAGCCAGAACAGCTGAGAACAGCCAGCCAGCCAGAGATCAGAAAGAACTAGAAACGGTGAACTTATTCAGCAGCAAGTCTCAGAGGCTGAAAACATTCAAGGCCTAGATTAGATTATAGGGAGGCTGGAAGCTTCCAGGATTAGGCCTAGGTTAGCTGACAGAGGCAGTAAGCCTCCCAGACAACAATTACAACAAAATGAAAGTTACAGCTTCACAGCTTCCAACACCCCAATTCTCAGCCACTGAATGTCATATGCACAGAATGAAACACACCCATGTAAAGATCATTAAACACACACTGGAGGTAAGAGAGTGAGGCCCCTTATCAACCAACCAGTCAAAAACCTGACCCGGCACTGAGGAGGAACGGAACTCTCATCTAGCACATACTGGCTTCTATCCTCAACACCAACATCCAACATGAATGAATGACCAGCAAGACACACAGTCAGAACCACCTTTGTCAGAACTCTGGGAACTAAGCCAAGACTTGTAGCAACCCAAGGACTATCAGGAACATTGTGACCTTCACTGTATTAGTAACATTCCAACTCAGTCTCACCGCCTTTAGCCTGGAAGATGAGTGGCTGGGAGGGCTGGCTCTGTATGCCGGTGTGATTAGATTAAGAAGCGCCCAGGGCATTGCTGAGGCATGCCTTGCAGAGATGCTTAAGCCTGTCACTGGGCTGGGGTCTAAGGCAGGATAAAAAGAGAGAAAGCTTTTCCTGGACTGCCCAGATGCAAGGAGTTCCTGCCCGTGTGTCCGTGTGCCTTCTGCCTTAACGGCCTGTACTCTCTCAAACCTGAGCAAATTCAATATCCCTTATGGTGCTTCTATCAGGTATTTGTTCATAACAATGAGAGAAGAAACTAAAACCTCAGTTCTCCTCAGGGAATATGGTCTGCATGCTTCTGAAGGCAGCCCAGGCTGGAAAGACAGACAGTGGCTAGAGCAGTGTGCAGGGCTGTGTGTCACACAGGGTCCCACAAGGGCCTCACAGGCACCAGAGGCTCGGGAGGAGGGAGGTGGGAACGAAGGCCAGTCAGTGACCCCAGCAGGCCCTCCTGGGCTGCCCAGTACCCCAGAACACCGAGAAATGATGAATCACCATTATAGAATGTGTTGGCCACCACAAGATAATGGCCAAACTCAGTCTGTGAGTCTAAAACAGTCCATCCAATCTTCCCTAGGGGACAGGGCTGAGAGAAGACTGCCCGTGTGGGACAAAACATGCCCTCTGCTGCATGCTCAGAGGACAGCCTGGCCCACAGAAACAAAGGGCTAAAAACGAACTTTGTGAATAAAATAAAACAACTCAAAGTACTCCAAAGAATAGGCCTTCTCTCAAGATTCTGGGAGGGTCGGTGAGTCCCATAAGTTGGAACAATGGGGAAAATTTTTTGAGATAATCAGATGACCACAGGACTATGGGAAAGCATGGTGCTCTCAGGACACAAGTGGATAGCTAAAGCGAAGGACCGGTAGGCCATCACGACCCCACAGCAGCCGAGTCCGCAGCAAACAGTAGCAAACGCAGTGCAAATGAGATGCACATAGTCCAGGCTGGCCTCAAACTGGGTGTGTAGCCAAGGATGACCTGGAACTTCTGTTCTTCCTGCCTCCTCTTCTCGTGGAGTGCTGAGATCACAGGTGTGCACTGCATGCTCCTGTGGCACGGGGGTCTGAATCCATGCCAGGCAGGCACTTTACCGACTGAGCCACATCTGAGGAGGATATGTAAGCACATCCTGTAAGTAGGCAGGGGCCAATGGACTAGTCCAAATATGCTGGGCAATTAAGAACTAGGCAGGAAAGCTGAGCCAGCCTAGTGCCACAGGACCACCAGGCAGAAGGCAGCATTCACAGCTGCTAAGCATGTGTTGTCAAGAGAGATAAGCAACTAAAGAGGCCCCTATTTTCTAAGAGGAGCCACACAGCTGGTGCTGGGTACACAGGAAACACGCCAGCCCTGCCTGGGGTCAGCACCTGTAACTCCAGTCACTCAGGCTTTGTGGAGTGACCAATCCAGCCCAAGAATTCAAGGTCAGCCCAGGCAACACAGTAAGCAAAGCCAAGCAAGCCCACCATCACTCCTGGCTGACCACTAACTGCACTGAGATTAAGGTTAGTCACAAATGAGCTTCCAAATATACAAAGAAACCAGTTCATGATAGAGATCAGAGCTTTCCAGCCAGGCTGATCCAGAGAAGTCCCTCACTGGACTGCATGGCCTGGGTCCCAGTTCCTAGCCCATCATAAGCCATGTGTAAGAAAATTTCTACTATTACTGCCCAGAGAGAATGCAATTTTGTCCTGCTTGAATTTGGTGAGCTCTCTAAAACTCTAGAAACACACACACACACACACACACACACACACACACACAGAGTGAAACTAAGGAAAATGGGAAGGATTTTTCTGTCCTCCCTAGGTATGTGTGGTGGTGCTGGGAGGTCCAAGATCTTTGTAGGTGTCAGAACCTCCAGTGTTCAAGTTCCTTATATAACATATCACCTGCATAAGGCATAGGCATGCCTTCTAGTTGCAATACTGCCCACTATAGACCTGTGTTATAGAAATGGCCATGGGTTATTCAGCTAATAGGACAAGCACAAGGGTCTGTGGATATTCAACAGATATAGCTGTTTCCTCTGAATGTTTTCAGGTCCAAGATCAGTTGACTTTACAGATGAGGAACCCACAGATACAGAGAATCAGTTGACTTTACAGATGAGGAACCCACAGATACAGAGAGCACCCAGATAGGCACCCCTACAATGATGCTTGCTTAAATGTCTCCAGGAGAATAATGTACCATTCTTAGTAAAAAAAAAAAAAAA